TGTAAACAAGGGATTTTCCAAGGGAAAATCGTCGAACTCACTTTTGTGATTGAATCATCAATTCAAGCCAAACATTAATCAAATAGGAACAATTTCACTCAAAGTATACCTAGACACAGGAGAACTACTATTGTCGTGAAAGTGTTGTACAGTCGATTACGAATTTAGATTGCAGAGAGTTTGTTCTGAGCGCTAAAAGCACTCACGATAGAGCACATTTTGCTTTATTCTAACAATAATGACGTCAGCCGTCCGGGCGCGGTCTGACTTGGTGACAGGATTGAGTCGAAACGTGACTATACCGCAGTTGGTTGGAAGATCTTCAACTGCATGATCAGCAGGCTCCACAAGGGAGCAGTCCTCCCAATTGAGACCAAAGCACTCTGAGGATTGGAGCCATCTGAGCCAAAGGGTAAGATTAGCAAGGCCCGCGAGAGACAGTTCGCGGCGTTGGAAGGCGTTCTCAGCGTCCAAGAACATTTGATCAAGGGCGGAATCCAGGAAACGAACATGGCGATCCAAGAGGGCTACCGAGGGGCGAGTGTGGTCACCCAAACGTGCTACCATCCCCTTTGCAAACAACTGAAAGGACAAGTTGTCGGTTGGGCGACAGGATTGGTAGACGATCTTTTTGTCTGCCGACATGTAGGCAGCGTGGGAGGAATTGATGGCATCCAATGAGAGCCACTGAAAAACAGCGGACCGGACGGCTCGGATAGTACCAAAACTGATCGGTGTTTGGACATCACGGTCATATTTCTTCCTTGACTGCCAAAGACTGTACCATTCTTGACACCACATGAGAGGAATTTCAGGGCCGGATGGTGGTTCCACGAGGGGAGTGGGCCGGAGAATGGTCACATCAAATTCCTGCTCAAATTAATGGACCACGTTAAGCTTTGATTTGTATGTGGAATGGGTGCCTTTGGCCCAAGATGAGATGATGTCAAGGAGCCGCACGCGTTCCAGCATAAGCAGCGGGACGTCATCAGCTTTAAACAGTTCCCGTTGGAGGTGTTGACGGACAGTACATGCTTCACATACAAAGTTGGGCCAGGCCGCCTGGGCTGGGAGCACCAAGCCCTCATCTCTGAGCCGACGAGTCTTGAACGGTTCTCCTGCACGGAAGCAACCAGGATGATAACAGGCCCCACAGCTACGGAATTTCCCAAAACCGGACAAAGCAAAGGTGCATTGCAGTCGTGACTTAAGATCCCTTGGACGGAAACCCATCTGGCAGCCCGCGCGTAAATGTGGCTTGGGCAGCATGCCACAAGGGGGCGAGATTGGGAGTCTTGTCCAACCGGCTAGGCGAAAGAGTTGGTTGGTGAGGTGGGATGTATAGAATCACAATCGGAGAGGGGATGCATGGGGGTAGATGGTCTCAAGTTCCAAGACGTAACAAGACATGTGGCGCCAAGAGGCCTCCAAAACACGAGGGACAAAGAGGACAGCCGACGTAGTGTACGGGCACTCGACCCAAGAGTTGAGGAGGAAGGTAAGAAGTTGGCGAGCCAACTCTGGAGGTGGGCACCACACAGTGGTTTGATGGAAACAGGTGGCAGCGACCCATGGTTGGTTCCAATGTTGAAAGGTCCAGTGGCTGGCATGATGTGACAGGAAGGGAAGGGATTCCCAAACCAAAGCAGGGTCAAAGGGAACCGGGTCGAAGATAGCCTGGGCAAGGCGGTCAGGGTCCATGATGTTCTGCAAGTGAGACATCCAAACGCCGCGACTGAGGCCATCAGTACCTTGGGTGATCAGTACCTTGCCAGGAACGTGGATTACTTGGAGGGTGCATTTTGGTTCGAGTTCAAGTAGGCGGATCTCACTGATCAACTTGTGGAGGGTGCGATTCTTAGAGGATCCAGTAGTAGCAATCCAGTAGACGCCCGAGTTGTCCGTGAAGTAGAAAACCGTAGAGTCAATAACCTGATGAGCATGAGGGCTCTCTTTTATCCGTAAAAGCGTCTCCTTCAGAGTCGCCAACTCTTTCCATAACTGAGGGGAAGATGTAGATCGACGGTTTCCACTTGCCACGCCACATTTCAAATTCACAGTTTGGGAGCTGGATGGTCCCACCGGTGCCTGTACCACTACCGTCGCCAAAGGTTGGGACCAGTGTAGCTGCACTGCGGCCCCGGACGTAGCGACCCTCGCTCTTAATCAGGTACTGTCTCCACCATTTGAGTTCGTCCAGGACTAGGGAATTGAGGGCAGTAGTTGTGTAGTACGGTTCCGCTCCAATTCCCAGGCCCGGTGGGTGGACCAAGGTGTGAAACTCCTTGAGATGAGTGTGTCCCAGCCGTCGGGGAGTCGCTTCCGTAAGGGATTCCAAGACTCCAACTGCCACTGCCAGGCCCAAACGGGACCACTTTTTGTGCAGGGGAGACTGGATCATGTATTCACAGATAGCCAAAGCCCGGTCACGCTTGGCTTCCGGGATCCGAAGGCAAGGAACGTCGGTGGTGTCAAACAGAAAACCGCAATATTTGACAACTTGCTGCGGGTGGACCAATTTCTTAGGGTGAAAGAGGAATCCACAATCCACTGCCGTATCCAGGAAGAACTGGAGGCCTTGTGCCGTCTTCTCATGGGAGGGTCCGTGGATGAGGAAGTCATTGACCCAGACCCAAATATGTACCGCGCCGCCGTCACGTCCAATAAGAATAAAACCGTATCCAACTTTTGGGTCAAAGCCATTATTCCGTAGACCAGTCCAATAGCAGTTAGCCTTCGCCGCTCCTTTGAACACTGCGAACTTTTCCTTGACCAAGCGGACGAACGCAAGGCCAATTCGGCATGCAATAGCTGGGCTGTTCCCTGCTCCCATTGCTAGGCCATAGTAAGCAAGGAGTTCCTTGGTGCGTGGATGCAACAGTCCAAGGTACGGACGATCGTCCTCGTGCGTTGGGAAGTTGTAGAAGAACTTGGAGAGGTCGACCACTGCTGAATATCCTCCACTGTACATTTGGTCAACAATATGCGCGATCCTGGGCATGAAGGCGGGGTCCTGTCCAACACAATCGTTTTGGCCTCCATGTAGCATGTCGGCAATGACTCTCCACTGCCCCGGCTGACCGTCCTTGCTGACAACGAATAACGGTGCGTTGGTAAGAACTTTGCGACCTTTGCCGATGTCCCTGAGAACCCCGAGGTCCACCAATTCGTTAACAAATTCCACCGCTGCTCTTGTCATCCCTTCGTCCATGGGTGCATTGGGTCGGATGCAGGCTGCTGGGGGGTGTAGGAAATTCTGTCGCGCCCCTAAACGGAGTTCTTCCCAATGTTCGGCCGGGAACTCCCACCATAAAAGTTGTAGTCTCTTGGTGTCTGGGCCTTCGTCCGTGTAGTTGTCCCAATGTCTAGCGAGGCGTCGTAGTCCGTCGGCAAAGATAGCCTCTGATTCCCCGTATTACTGGTCGGATGCCTTGCGTAGGTTAGCAATACGTAGCTGGTGCCACAATCCATCAAGGGACAGGTCGGGGGGGGCGCCATGTGAACTCCTTCTCGTCCTTGGGGATGGGAGAGGCGGATTCCCCATCAGTAGAAATGGCCTGGGGCCATGATCCGATCCAGGTGTCCCATGGTCTTTGAGGCGTTCCATCGAGTACGACAAATACTCCCAGTGGAACAGCGATGTACTTCGATGAAGGCTGTGAGCGGAATTTCCTTCTTCAGCACCTTTTGGGATGCCAAGGCCTTGGGCTAGTTCGTCTTTCATCAAGCGACGGATCCCCTTTTCTGTCTCAATCCAGGCTCCGATTCGATGGGGCATTGGGTCGCTGAAGGCCTTCGGTGTGTTTGGGCTTCCCCATGGAGAGTAGGCTCGTTTGGGCACTAGACCCAGCGGGGTCAGAAGGTTGCTCATTGGTCGGATCACTGAGAGGTCCCGATCCAAGCTGTCCCATTTCCAGTTCAATTCAGATTCAATCTTCGTTCGGATGACCAAGAGACGGGATTGGTCGATGGCCCCTCCCACTGCCGTCGCATTGATGGCACGACAGTTTGTCTGGTACCCAAGTTCTTTCCATCTAGTAGTTGACGCTTTGCTGGTAGGCTCGTACTGCCATAGAGTCGGATCCGTTCTCCAGGATTCTATCACAATTGTTGGTCTTTGCTTGAGAGACACGGAGGCAATCATGTCTTCCCAAGGTTGTTGTTGAGGTCCTCGTGTTGGGACCTTGTGGTTTCCCTTTTCAATAATTAGTAGATCCACCGGATGGTTCTCCAGGAGGCCCAACCATGAGCGGTGTGGTCCGAGTCGAACCAATGGTGGATCCACAAGATCTGTTGGTATTGTCTCCTCCTTATGTCGGATCGAGAACAATAGATCCAACTTGGGCCATGCATATCGCATGAGTTCACATCCACCCCCTATTACTCCCATAGTTCTCAGTCCTAACAAACCCGTCGTAGCCACTCTCCGTCTTTCAACTCCTGCCGTCACTCCTGTCGTATCATCGTCAACGCTACACTTTTGCTCACCTGGTAATAGTAAAGGTGTGAAAGAACAGTCAGTTATAACAAATTAGATGTGGTACAGGCAAGGTGTTTGATGGTGGTGTGGTTGATGTGGTCTGTGGCTCGCGTTCTTCAGTTGGCCGACTTCTTGGGAATGGGATGTGATGTGGTTGTGTGTTGTACGTGTAGATCTGAGGTGGGCCATTACTAAGCTTCCTGACTCCCAGATGTAATGTGGTGTGTGTCTTCCTGAGGTGGGCCATTAGTATGCTTCCCTACTCTCAGGGTCAATAGGTTGCGGACGCGGGTTATTCCTTCTTCCAACCCTCGGATACTTCCTTTACGATCTCCGCAATAGGTCGCTTGGGATCCGCTTTGTAAGTTTGGAGGACTTTTCGGCAGGCCTTCTTGGCCCAGGTAGTTGGATGGCTTCTGAGGGGACAGGCTTTTGGAGTGTGTTCGATTCCTAGAGCAATGTGTAGATCCCTGTTGTGGCACCAAGAGCATTTGGGTTTGTCGTTGCCTTTGCCCGCACCCTTCTTGTTCTTGGCAAGATGTTCCGCTAGTCTCTCCTCCACAAGTGCCTCCAATCGGGAATCCAGGGCCTCTTGGAAGAGACGATTCTCTTCTCTGACGTTGGTGATGGTCTTCTCCGTGATCTTGTTGCTGTTGAAGTTCTTCGCTTGGGCGTCACGAAGGTAGATGTAGTTCTGGAATAGTAACAGTCTTTTGCTGGTGGAGTGGACTCGGATTCTCAGTAGTTCCTTGGAGTGGTGGGAGAGCAGGAGGTAGGCTTCCGACCCTTTCCACGCGTCGCTCATGCCATCGATTCTCTTTTGCCGGATCTTGTTGATGAGTGCGGTGTAGTTGGTCAGAGTTTCTCGGATAATGAGTCGTTCCAAGTAATCGTCAATGAAGTCCTTCATATATCCCCGGTTATGTAGGTAGGATTGGACGCGGAGTCGTTGGTTCCAAGAGGTGAGCTCCTTGTCTTCTGCGATAGTGCTGGCCGCTTTGAAGAGGTCGGCTTCTGACTTGATTAAAGCCAGCCCGTGTCTGGAAGTCTTGGGGTAATGGATGTCGGTGATCTTAGTCTTCATGGAGGGGTTCTTGCTAGATTCCACGGTCTCCAAGAACTGCTGCATAATGTCCGTAGTGTCCGTATTAACGTCCACATCACCACCTCCTCCCTTTGGTGAGCACGTACCTGGTAAACTCGCAATATCATTCATTACATCGTATAGTCCCTTGTATTGGCTTCTTGGTAAAGCTTCTGGCATCATTGCCCTGTCAATCTGACTGTCGAATATGGAAAGGCCGTGAATTTTGTCCTTGTCATCCTTGGAGCTATCCACTTGCCCAATGCATACGGGAGGATCGTGTTGGTTGATGAGTACCTCTCCATTTGGGCCTCTTGGGACTTCATCTTCTCCTCCGTTGGGTGTTGTTCCTTGGTTGTATTGAATGAGTCTGTTGTGTGCCCCATGGAGGTCAGGTTCCAGCTGTCGTGCGGTGGTCCTCGGGCCTTCAGATGGTGGGTTAGCCACCTTTTCTTGAAGTCGTTCTGTCACTTGTGCGAGACGTTCCGCCGTTGCCTGCATTTGTCTCATCATGGGCTCGGTCGACTGTAGGATTGTCTGGAGGATGAACTGACTGGTGTCTTGATTCCCATTGTTGTTGGTTGTAGCCGGTGTTGGTGGAGCGTGACGGTTTGTCCCCGTGGCTCTGGGTGGTGACTTCATCGTATTGTGCTCCTCGCCAATAGTTACTTGTTTGTTGGATGTTTTGGTGGGGTTTTTCTTACGGGCGATTGGTGTCGGTTTCTTGGGCGTAGATCGGGTCTTCTTCTTTCTCTTGGACGGTGACTTTCGAGATGGTTGGCCTGTCGGAAGGCGTCTTTCTCCAGGCGAACTTGCTCGGCCTTGAGCTTTGTCAAAAGAGCTTCCTGCTGTTAGAATAAAGCAAAATGTGCTCTATCGTGAGTGCTTTTAGCGCTCAGAACAAACTCTCTGCAATCTAAATTCGTAATCGACTGTACAACACTTTCACGACAATAGTTCTCCTGTGTCTAGGTA